GTGATTGTATATTGAATTATACTAATAGAATAATAAAACATAGAGAAAGTTATAAAAGTAGACAAGAATAGAGAGAAAGTTATACTCGCATTCACTAGTCTGTTCACAATTCTCAAAGTTACAAATGAAGTTAGAATTTTTTTTTTTTTTCCTGCAACGTTAGATATTTGTATTGATTGGCAAAAAACTTATATGAGCAAAGGCTCAAGGAATTCTATACAAGAGTGTTAGACACACTGAGGATTAATCCATTCCTCATCTTGAAATATGCCTAAAGCATAATCACTAATCGCTTCACATCTAGAGTCTAAGCTCCTATCTAAACAAAAGGAGCATTTCTGAAATAAGGACCTGAGATCGTTAATATCATCTATCAAAGTAGCCATTTTGATGTCCTTTGCCTTCCTTTCCTTTATCATCTTCAGTAGCTGGGGGCTGGTGATGTGGACAACAATTTCCTTCCATTGCTGGTGTCTAGCCTTTATGATGGCCATTTTCACAGCTTCTGCAGTAGACTGCAACTGATTCACTGTTTTTCTGTCAAAAAGTGCCCATGCAGCCACCCAATGATTGTTGAAGGTAGATGCAAAAATCCCCATGCCAACTCGGTTGGATTGGTCTTGCTCCTTAGTTGATATTCTGATCTGAATTTCATTCCTTCCTGCCTCCTCCTGATCAACTTCCTCATCTGCTCTTACCGCATCTTCAGTGACTATTTCCTGCTTGCTCTGGACATCTTTTTGTTCTTGCCATTCCTGTAGAGCCTTTTGGATTATTTTCCAAGGGTGCCTGTGTTTGGCATTGAATTGCCATTCATTTCTCCTTTTCCAGAGTTGCCAGAGGATGTTCACAGTGAGCTCTATATGCTCCTTTCCTTCTGTCCTGCATGTAGCTTCCAGAAGAGCAGTCCACCAAGCTTGAAAATTCCCTGTCTGTTCCCTTAACCCATCCCATTGTAATGGAGCCATTTTCCACACCTCTTGTGCTTTGCTGCATTGGAAAAACATGTGTTCAATTGACTCTTCTTGTTCACCACAGCCACCACAGATTGGATCACCTTTGTGTGTTCTTTTAAAAACCAGGCTGTTGACTGGTAATAAACCATGTAGGCACTTCCAAAGGAAATGTTTGATCTTGCTCTTAACGTTCAGCCTCCACATCCACTTCCACTGCTTTTCATAAGAACTTGCTATACTAGTTTCCGCCTCATTCTCTCTTCTTTCTTTGTATTGAACAGTTCCTCTGCACAATGCCTTGTAACCTGAGTTGACAGTGTAGATGCCATTGCCGCTATGTATCCAGTAATTGCTATCATCCTTTCCTGATATACTAATAGGAATCTCCAGAATTTCCTCTGCCTCCTTCCTGTTAAAGGTCCTAAATACAAGTGGTATCCTCCATCGAAAGCCACAGATCAACTCCTCTACTCTTTTGATTTTGCAATTCAGAGGCATCACAGAGGTGACTTTGCCATCCCTATTTCCCGGAATCCAGTTGTCCCTCCAAATGTTGGTTGCCTTGCCATTGCCTATCTTTTTCCTAGTTCCATTCTGCACCAAATCTCTAGCATTCATCAGGCTTTGCCAAATCCACGATGCACATTTAGGAACTTTGCACCTAAAAATTGAGTCCGTATGGTAGTACTTTGCTCTCAAGACCTTGCTAACCAATAGGTTTGGTTTAGAAATCAGTCTCCATACCTGTTTAGCTAGCAAGGCTTTGTTAAAGTTCTGCAGGTCCTTGAATCCCAATCCTCCCACTTTTTTCTCCTTAGACAATCTCCCCCATGAGCACCAATGCATCTTATTTTTCCCTTCAGTTTCACCCCACCAGTAGTTAGCAAACATGGAAGACACCTCTTTGCAGAGTTTGTTTGGCAGCTTAAAGCAGGACATTGTATAGACTGGCATTGCCATAGACACTGCCTTCAGTAATACCTCCTTCCCACCTTGGCTGAGCAGCTTGTTCTTCCAGCTTGCCATTCTCCTGCTAATACTGTCCTTGATGTAGCCAAACACTTGCTGTTTAGATCTTGTTATCACCATAGGTAGTCCCAGATATCTCCCTTGTGTAGCAACCTGAATTGTGCCTAAACTTTGCCTCACTTCCCTTCTCCTCTGATAATCCACATTACTACTGAAGAACACGGAGGATTTTTCCAGATTGATGGATTGACCAGACCCCTTCTCATACCTCCTCAGGATTTGAATAAGTTCACTGGCTTCCTCTCTTTCAGCTTTACAGAAGATTAAAGAATCGTCTGCAAAGAATAAATGAGTCATACTTGGACCATACCTGCTTATCTTCATCCCAGAGATTCTTTTATTTCCTTCAGCCTGCTTCAATAAATTGGAAAAGCCTTCTGAACATAAAAGGAAAAGATAAGGTGATAGCGGATCGCCTTGTCTAATTCCTCTTTCTGGAATTACAAACTCTTTAGGCTCTCCATTAATATTAAAGGAGTAAGTGACTGAGGTAAGGCAGCTCCAGATCCATTGCCTCCAGACCGTACCGAAGCCCATCTTAGCCATCATGGAATCAAGGAATTTCCACTCCACTCTGTCGTAGGCTTTGGACATGTCAAGTTTCACAGCCATAAAACCATTCTGACCTTGTTTTTTGTTTTTCATGTAATGCAAATATTCATGAGACAAAATGACATTGTCAAGGATTTGCCTACCTGGGATAAAAGCTGCTTGATTTTTGCTAATGCAATAGCTTAACACATCCTTGAGTCTATTGGCCAATATTTTTGAAATCACTTTATAAAGTACATTACAGAGGCTAATTGGCCTATAGCTCTTCAGATTAGTAGGATTCTGTGTTTTGGGAATGAGAGAAATGACCGTATGATTCCAGGATTTGGGCATATGGCTTGAATGGAAAAAAGACCTAATGGCAGCAATTAAATCTGATTTAACTACATGCCAAAATTTTTGAAAGAACAAAGGAGTCATACCATCTTGACCTGGAGCCTTATTTGGGTTCATAGAGAAAAGAGCTGTTTTGATTTCCAGTTCATCAACCTCTTTAGTTAGCTTATCATTCATCTCAGTAGTAATAGTAGAAGGTAGACCACTTAGAATCTCATCTAGACCCTCACAGCCAGAACTAGTGAACAGAATTCTATAGTAATTTGCTACTTCTTTCCCCAGCTCCTCCTCACTATTGGTCCACGTTCCATTTTCTCTTTGAATGTTAAGCATTCTGTTTTTCCTTCTTCTTCCCTTCACGCAGGCATGGAAGAACTTTGTGTTCTTATCCCCTTCTCTCAACCAATCAATCCTTGCTTTCTGGGCCCAATACTGCTCTTCTTCAGAGTAAGCCTCTTTCAACTGACGTTTTAGCTCAGCCATCTTATCCTTGTATCCTGAATCCCTCGAGTCTTTGATTTCCTTGATCTGTTGCTTCACTTGGTTGATTCTTAGCAAAGTGTTTCCTGTGAAGCTGTTTTTCCATTTGAGTAAAGCCACTCTGCAATTAGCAATCTGTCTAGTAATCCTATACATCCTATTTCCTTCAACTGTTTGTTGCCAAGCTTGCACCACCACTTGATTTATATCTTCCCTCTTAAGCCAACGCTTATCAAAGAAGAATCTGGACCTTCTTTTCTCTATTCTAGGCCAATTATCTATAAGCAACATGCTATGATCTGATCCGAGGGTCTCCACATGTTCACATTTAGCCTTGTCGAAATTTTGCCACCAATTTATGGTGCTCAATCCTCTGTCCAGCCTTTGCCTTATCTCCCCCTCATCCTCCCAGTTGTTGCTCCAAGTCCAGGGGTTACCATTGAATCCTAGATCTACCAGGCTGTTATTCTCAATAAAACTGTTAAAGTCCTTGAAACTCCTGTCTTCTCTTGCTCGTCCCCCCCATTTCTCTTCATTAGAGAGTATGTCATTGAAGTCTCCTGCTAATAGCCATTTATCACCCCACAACTGCTTTCTCCTGGTCAGCACATTCCACTGTTGTCTCCTAATAATAGGGTCACAGCTCATGTAAACTCCAATGAACCACCATTCAATCTGCTTGTCAGGGTCAAGCACCAGAGCCTCTATAGTAAGGGCTGTTGTAACAACTTGCTTAACCTCTACATCCTTATTCCAAAACAAGGCCATGCCTTCTTTCCTGTCCATAGCTTCCACAATCACACTTTCCTCAAACCTCAAAATTTTTTGTACCTTTTTCATGTAATGGAACCTGTTTTTGGTTTCACTTAGGAATATCATATTCGGGGAGAGGAGGTTATTAGCCTCCCTCAACTGGGGAACTGTCAAGGGGCTCCCTGCTCCTTGACAGTTCCACACCAAAACCTTCATTGTAACTTGAGGGGCCAGTTAAGGTTGGCCCCTTCCCCCTCTAGTTCCTCGCTCAGATGCCTTCCCCCAACTGCCATTTTGTTTCTCTTGGGGACCAACTCATTTACATGTACTTCCACCATATCCTCATCCACCAGGTTAATTTTTCTTTTCCCTTGCTGGCGAGTCCTCATCTTGTTCCCACTAAGTTCTCTCAAAGGCTGCCTAGAAATTTTGGGAGACCTCAGCTGTTTTTTCATTTTGCTGTTGTATTTCTGAACAGCCTTTGTACCCAAATCAGAGCTACCTGGATCAATATGCATTACATCTATTACAGGGCTACCAGGGCCTTCCTCCACCACTGATACTTGCATCAGCTCACTAGCTATTTGCTCAAGTCCTTTACTGTCCAAATCACCTTTAATTATCGAGTTTATATCTTGCTCCTCAGAGATACTTATCCTTCCTCCTTGTAACTCACAGTTATCCTTCTCCCCATTGGGAGTCCCAGAAGCTTCTGTGGTGCTTTTTTCCTTCTGACTTTTACTGCAAGCTGGAGTTGATCTTTGCCTGTTCAATTCATTGCTACTCACCCCACAACTTCGTTTCTGAGCCTCATGACCTCCTCTCTCTCTCTAGACCCCTCCTTTGCTGTCTGACTTTCTGCATTAACCTGTCTAAGAGTTTCCTGTCTCCCAGTCATCGAGTCCTTATGTCTGTGTTCCATGTTCTCCTTAGCCTTTGGTTTAACAGAACCATATCCCCATCTTTAAAGCCCCAATAGCTCTTCTCAGAATTGTACTTGTTCTGATGTTCCTTCTGCGGAGAGCCTCTCCCTATATTGGCTCTCATCCATGGTCCATACTGATGTTCCTGCTTTCCTCTGCTTATCTGTATTATTGCCTTGCAGGACTTCTCTCCATGGCCAACCATTCCACACTTGTAACAGAAGTCTGGACACCTTTCATATCTGAAATTCAACCATTTCAAGGCTCCATTGACTTTCACTGTCGTCCCCCTAAGCAGAGGTAGAGAGGTATCCAGTACCACTAGAAGCTTTAAATGTCTTCCTTCTTTTCCTCCTACTTGAGGCACCAGTACGTCCTTTACCTCCTGAAAGATCGCACCTATTTTCCTCCCCACTTCCTTAGATATCCAGTGCACAGGTAAATTCCATACTTGAACCCAGAAAGGTGCCAGGTCAAAAGCAGAAATATCATCTTCTATTCCTTCCACCCAATGTTTCATCACCAAAATTTGGTTGTCCATGACCCATGGTCCTCCTCCTACTATTCTGTCTCTGTCCTCCCTATTAGGAACATAGAACTGAAACAAATTTGGCCCCAATTCTATGATCCTTAGATTCCTCGGATAGCCCCAAGCTGTGGTCACAAAATTCTTGACCCCAACAAAGTTGGCCACTTTCTCACCCTTGATTCTCCCCACTAAACTCAACTGACATTCTTGGATACCTATATCTATCTCAACAACACCCAGGTCAGTTCCTTCGAGCTCTTTATCTGAAAGATCAAACTTTCTTATCGCATCCGCTAGTTCCTCCGCCATGGGGTCTAAAGAAAAACTAACACTGTCTCCTACTCACACTACTGAGACCAGAAAAGCAGAACCAAGAACCGAAAAAACAGAGGAGAGAGCTGCCCAGGCAGACTAGTTTGAACAAAGATCAGAGAACAGCCCTACCCCTGACGTCAAGACTTAGTCTCTAACCCCCTTTTTTAAAAACTTAAGATTTTGTTTCTACTAATAAAAGAAAATAAAACTGAAAAGACAAGCCCCAAGCCTTAGAGCAGAAAAGAAAAACACAAGTTAAGACAGAGGGTTTAATGGCTATGAAGGTACCTGCCAACGCACTTACTTCTACTATGAAGTCTGTTTCCTTAGTCCAGATGAGCCAAGATCACTTCTGCATGCAGACGAAATCCGACAAAGTTGCTAAGTATAGCCGTGAGATATCCCCACTGACTGAAGAAGCTCGGTTCTCTCAAAGTTCTCATCTTTTGGTAGATTCACTCATCCCAGTACGATTTTCTGTAGTACTAACAAGCATTAAGAATTCAGGGTGGCATCTAAATCTTGGGCATGTGTGTGAGGTTTTGCGGAAAATTTTGAAAAAGTTTGAAACTCTCAAGGTTGAGAGACTAGCGCTCTTATCAAGAGAGAGAAACTCTCACTTTGGAGGGAACGGTCAAATGAAGTTAGAATAACAACCTCTATTTATAGGTAGAGTAAGATAAATGATACATGAAGTGACTTTAATACTCATACATCAAGATGATAAAATTGAGTTGTTTCATGAAATGAAGAGATGAGTGTATCTTATTAATCTAGGGTAAAAATACATATATCAATTCTTTGGGGAGAACTAAATGGACATCCACGTCCATTTGTGCTCGTTTCATAACATGCATCAAATTCTCTACATATTTCTTTGTGAGTTTCTTCTAAATTGCGATGAAGCAGCTTTTACATTGCCATGCCATCCAAGTCTCTTAGTTCCAGTCGTGTAATGTGTATAGAGGTGGCAATTTGTCCAAGTCCCAATGGGTTACCCATACCCATGGGGACTTTGAGCGGGATGGGTATTGAAATTTGGTATTGGGTTTAAAATGGGACAAATCACAATTGTACCCATTAATTGATGGGAAATTTTGAGAAATACTTGGGTACCCATTGGGCTCAAATAACAAGGGCTCCGTTTGGAGTAGCTGTTTTTTGGGGTGTTTTTAAAATACTTTATTGTATAAGTGTATATGAAAAATTTTTACTATAAAATTTTTTTTGAAATATTTGACATACTAATATGGATGGGATGTTTTTTGAGTTATTGTATATTACTGTAACATTATATTTAAAAAACTTGTTTTTTGAAAAAATAACCAATCCAAACGGAGTCTTAGATTAAAAAATTATCTTTAACAATTTTTATAGTCATACGAGCAAATATAATCTAGCAGTCTTCCTAGTCATTATCCACAAGAATTTCCAGCATTTCAGTTAGTTTAGACCTATCATCCTTGGACAATGATGTGGATAAATATTCAACACCCTAAGTGCCTTGGTCATCTTGATATATGTTAGAATATGGCTGTATATCTATCTTTTCCTTTATTTGTTAATCCAATTTTTGGTGGGAATCCTGAGTATAAAAACACTTGCATGTTTATTTAATAAAACTAAAAGAAATTTAATAAAACAAAAATATTAAAGTTATATAAAAATAAAAAATGAATTAAAGAAAAAAAATATGTAGAAAATAGATTTGGGTATTGGCGGGATCAATCTAAACCCATCCCAAAGTGATCCCGCCCAAGTTAGTCCCAAACACATATGGGTAAGGTTAAACTCAAACCCATATGACTCGGTTCCATCTCAAATCCAATCAAATCCCGCCCATCCCGCCCATTTTGCCACATCTAAATGTGTATAACATTGGATGTTTTGACATAAATTTAGTATAAAAGTGAATTTATAAGTAAATTGGTTTAAAACTTACGATTGCATTATAAATACTGGTGCTAAAGACACACGCGATACATGTGCAATTATAAATGCTTTTTTGGTAGATTAATTTTATATAAAATTTTCATTAATAAAGCAAACTACGGTATTTTAACCTTTTTACCCATCAAATGATGGTTTTAGTAGTTACAATATTTAGAGAGTTAGAGACAGTCATATTGTTAAGATTTGTTTAGATTAACTATGGTTAAAAATAGTTATAGGTAGTTATTTTATCAATTTATATTTAGGTAGTGAAGTAATAAGTGATTTTAATGAGGTAAAATTAAAAGTATATAAAGTGACAAAAATATTTACCTCAAAGCCCCATTTCTCTCTTTATATATAGTATAGATACCAGTTTATACTACTGAAGTTACTAAAGTTATTAGTTTACGTGACTTGACGACTTGACGAACCAATTTGAAAGTGCGTCCAGCTCTAGATCCGTTCATGCCTATTTGTGCGTTTATTGTAACCAATTTGAAAGTGCATTCAAGTTTTATTTATTTATTTCATGAATTAGACTAAAACAAACTTTTAACCACTCAAAGAGTTCAAAAAATTTATACTCCCTCCATCCCACTTTGATAGTCCTATTTTCCTTTTTCGTCTGTCCCAAATTGTAGTCCACTTTCCAATTGAAGAATGTAGTTGTATTTTAATTTTTCTGAAATGCCCTTATTCAATGTAAGTTATTTTTAATATAAACCTACCCCATTTAATGAGAGTTGATTCTCTTTTTACCATAAATTCAAGTTCCCATAAAATTGTACTCTATTTAATGTGAGCGTATTTTAGAAAAATAGCAATCTAAATTTACTTTTCCAACAAAGTTAACTACTTTTTCTTAAACTGTGTGAAAAAAGAAACAGGACTATCAAAGTGGGACGGAGGGAGTAGCACTCATAGACAAATTGTGATCGAGTTTAAAATTAAAATATTAGTTTGTAAACCAAGTTTAAACGAGTTCAATATAAATATCGGATAATATGATTCATTTTTCAATTAACTCTTTTACGTACCATTAAAGAAAGTATAAAGATTTTGTGAAATCGTCTGCTTGATATCTTAACGAAACGTCATGAAGCTTAATGTGGTGGTTGTAAAATATCTGTACCATATATTTGTTCGTACATGATGTGATAATACAAGAATTTAATGCAGTGGGATTACCAAAAGAATTTTTTTTTTACTTAGATTGCCAAAAGATTCAAGTGCTTGTGTCATACGTGTCTATTAAAATGCACTAGTATTGTTGGGACTTAATGGTTGTTTGTTCTTATTCAAAATCAATTAAAACAATGGAATCTCATTAAATAAAAAGATTAATTTTATTTGTACTACCAACGTATGCACTTTTACTGTTTATACTATATGATATAAATGTAAAATATGAATTTAAAATTTAAATTTTATTTTTGTATCATATATTCAACCGCGAACAACTGTCAGTGTATATAATGTTGCCTCTTAATTTAAATCAAATTAGTGTGCCAGCCAATTTTTGTATCCATAATCAAAAAAAAAGAGGGAAAGAAAAGAAACATTCGGCCAACACAAATCCAAGAAGGAAGCCGTGTCCCGTTATTGCCAAATCGGTCTTATTATTTCTTGTTTCAAACCAGAAAATTACAGCAAGAAAAGAAAAGAAATTCAAAAGTTTTGGCCTACCTCTTCTTGAAAATCTTGAACACCTTGAATCTTGATTACTTGTGTCACCTTTTTGGATTCTTGTGGGTCTTGATTATCTTGGGGTTTGAAGAATTGCAGTTCCCTTCGTACAAAGAGTTTTTTGTAAGATCTTGCATCCATACGTGGCTTTCTTGGTTGAGGAGTGAACTTCTTGGGAGATTCTTGAGTAACATCACTCGCATGGCCTTGGGAGTCCATTAGGAGCCGAATTTCTGGAGCAATAAAAACCAAATCTGTCTTGAATTTCTGGAGCAATAAACACCAAATCTGTCTTGTAGGAGAGAGGGCCGAATTGCTGGTTCTTGGGGTAGAGAGGGTGTCGAACTCCTTGGGTGGCTGTGAGAGGAGGATTAATAGGAAGTAATAGCCGACTTAGGGAGGGGTTCAAGAGGAAAGAAATCTGGAAATTTGAGTGGTCCAATTCTGGTTTGTGTTGTGAGCATAGTAGGCGGCTGCTTAAGGGGGTTTATAGGGGTTCTCTTAGCCGACTTTGGGAAGGAAATAAAGGGGAAGAATTCTGGAAATTTCAGAGATCCAAATCTGGTTGGTGTTTACAAAGTGTGCGGCTGCTAAGAGGGAGCTTTATAAGGACATTAGCCGACTTGGGGAAGGATTAAGAAGGGAGATTCCTGGAAAATTAGAAGAGAAAGGAGAGAGGGAACCGAATCTGTTTGGGGGGGGGAATTAGAAGTTGCTTAAAGGAGGTCTTCAAGGGGGTTACCAACTCTAACTTGCTGTCCAACTTAGTTTAGGAGACTAAGTACAACACTTGGATAACACTTGGACACCTTCCTACATTTTCTCCTCCATTTTAGGACATCCTACTATATTCTCTCATCCTTTTTAGGAAACCACTCCTACATCTTAGGATTCTTAGAGTTTCCTTTCTTGGCAATACTTTCCAAATCTGTCCACCGACCCTAATCCTTCCAAAACCGTCCTTCCCTTTGCAAAATTTCACCCAATTGTGTCCTTTACTCTTGTTTACTCTTGTGGGGAAAAGTTGGAGGCAATTATTGGACTCGAGCAACATTTCTCAACTACCTAATCCAACAGGTAAAAGGTACTTGGTAAGCCTAATAGAGTGAATTGAGCACTACACACGAGCGTGAGGGATACACTAAGGAAGTGAAGTGAGGATTATATTTGCATTTTCTTTGTTTCTTCTAACCTTTGCAGGGGCAACAAGGGAAGCATGGAGCAACAACACCACCATCAGCAACAAGCAACCACCGATCCTTCATTGTTATTCGCCGCGATGAAGAATGAGCTCAGGCGAATCAGTGAGCAACAAATGGAGACGTTACACACTCGTTTTGATGAGTTGTCTAGGAGCCTTACGCGAGGCTCTC